ATATATATATTAGCAAAGCAAATAGCGCCCTCCAGTATAGTTACTATTGTTTAAAGATTGATTTCAGTGGTTCATACTTGAGCGATCACAATGAAAAGGGTTAAATAAAAAATTAGGTATTTTATAATACAATACAGGGTTGCTGGTGAGTCAAAACAAACCGAGCGAGAATCTAATGATAGCATTTCAATTGATTCGAGCAAACCGATGACAATCAAAAACCTGAGCCTGGCACAATAAGCGACACAGGTACTTACGGGGCCTATTAAGGGCTAGAGCTGTGTACAACTGAAATCATGTCAATGGAATATAGGCCTAACGCCTGTAGTTTCTATTATATATTATTTGTCGCGTTTTTACACTTTAGAATTACACACGGAGAGCCGATTACAAATATAGGAGAAGCAGTGGTAAGTGGAATATATCGTTTATCAATACATGGTTATAAGGCCGGGTAATTTTGCTTGACAACGTCCCTATTTGACGTTAAACCTTCGGAAATATCAACTCCCTGCTCTAACAATACGTTAGGATGTAGACAATGTATTCCCAACCTCAATTCTTATGTTTAAGAATGCATAGCTTTTTTGGTTTGACGAAATAGGCCAACCTACAACATGAAATAGATGGTAACCTAATGGTATGATATGCGTTTTGTTGCCATGTGCTCACATTACAAATAATTCGAGAGGCTGTGGACAAATTCACATGACACCGATACGATCTAATGTGGTTGTAAATGGTTACTTTTCAATTTTCTATTTTATTTATTATCATGATTATCATTGATTTTATAGAAAATTCTTTGCACTTCCTATTCGCGAGAGAACTATAGATATCAAAACTGTGAAACTCGCATGTCAAAAAATAGGCGTAAGATCTTATAATGAGTGGTTTTGACGATGTTTTTAAATATGTATAGTAATATTTATAATAATATTAATACTACAGAATGCTAATTTCTATGAAGATAATAATAACATTAATTATAATAATATAATAAAACTATTGATTTGATAATAAAAGTAATTATCCTAATAGGGATGATGGGGCCTATTTTTTTATTTGTATTTTAGGATATTTTTAAATTTTGGTTTGGCACTATATAAATGTTCTTTAAGATCATATAAATTTTTAATGAATGAATGACTCAGCCAAGGAACGAACGAACGAATGGTGTGATGATGATAGTGGTGGTGATGATGATGATGATGATGATGATGATGATGATGATGATGATGAATTGTAAAGATGATTACAGAATAGATAGCAGGCATACTGTACACCTGTGTGCTATACCTAAGCCGGATTTGCCGGAATATAACGCTCCTGACAAGGAAAATAATATAAAAATCTTTCATTTTTAAAATACAGTGCTTTGCATTTGCAGATTCATAAATAGCCATAATGGGATTAATGCGGAGATTTTGCAATTGAGGGAAATCCCCTCTTACCTCTTCGCAGTGGTCGAGCATATTTTAAATAGTCAACGCAAAAGTTACTGATAGGCCTACCCTCCTCGAACACAATTATTATTTTAACTTTTAGCTTGTACTCTGTGCCAAAAATTTTCTCCGCCTGGGTACACTTAGAAAAAAGCACCTCAACTTTCCGTATCAGAACTCAGAAATAAACCTAACAATCGTGTAAAAGACAATATTGTAACTTGCCAAAAGTCTTGTATGCAGACTTTTAGACGAGGAAGTTTCATCCCCGCATTCATAACATAGATATATTGTGTTAATTTTGGAAACTCGTCAAGAGAAAATAAATCGTGTGTCAACTCGACAGGTGAACTGTTAGTAATGGTATTGGCATGTTACCTACATTGTTTACTCGTTGTTCGCTCTTTGACAACAATTATAATTCTATAGATAGATTACTCATAGGTAAGGTGTACTCTTTGTTACAGCTGCCGCTCAGTCTTGTTAGATCAGCACGCGATCCAGGTAAAATTCAGTGAAATGTAATTGTTTAAGTGTATGACCGCATGCGTCCGGGTCTGCATTTGGGAGAATTGCCGAAACGTGCATTGAAAAGATTGCACAAAACCAATAAGTAAAAATCAAAACAATTACCATTCTATTATAATAATTTACATTGATTGTCTAACTACAAATAGTAGAACTTTTGATTTTGTTTTAATATGATAATCTATATTATTCATAAGGAATGCCATGTACGGCTCATATAATATACTTAACTTTTTTTTTCTTTTTTTCTGGTTCTTAAACTACCAATATTTATTTTATCTCATATTTTGACTTCTTGTGGAAGGGCACTTGTGGAGGGGCACCATGAGCGTTTTCCTTTAAACGGATACCGGCGCTTTATGTTTTCATTATGATTATGATTATGATTATTATTATTATTATTATTATTATTATTATTATTATTATTATTATTATTATTATTATTATTATTATTATTATTATTATTATTATTATTATTATTTATTATTATTTATTATTATTATTATTTATTATTATTATTATTATTATTATTATTATTATTATTATTATTATTATTATATTGAAGTAAACTAAAAAATGCAGACTCAAAGCAGGCCTACAATCAGTTAATGTGTGTCTACGAAAAATTTATGAAGATTCTTATTGAACTGAAGTACTAGATTATTCCATTTTCCCTGTTAAAAGCCTATAGCGTAAATACGTTTATAATAGCACAGACCCTAATAGGCATACAGTGCTAAGCCAACGGTTAAATTGGCAGGAAGTACATGTTCAGTTGCGTTTCATTGTCCGTTTATAATTAAATGCATTGACCATCTCATTTGTTGACCCTACAAAACTGTGGGTAGTTTATATAAATTACAAAATAGGGATCGAATTTTTGAGCGACCACAATGAACAAAGTGAAAGTAGATGATAACATCTAGCTACACAACGGAGTGTCATGTTTCGAATAAATTTTTCAGTTCTCTACCCTCCTTTCCGCTCCTCTTCGGAAACTTCATTCGGTGGTCCTCTTTTAGTAGCACTAAAGAACCATCAGCATTATCATAGGCCTAGCCTTGGAACAATAAACACAATATTGATTAAATATTCTTGAATTAAATAGTTTACGTTTGTTACGTGTCAGCAAACAGTACTGTAAGTCTGGTCTAATCATATAAACACTAGCCTCAAGCGCTATCAACATAACAACAAAAATCCAGACAGAACGTGGCCTGGATTTTGACAAATAATGCAAAATGGAAAACTTGTACATAGTTAAAAATAAAATCGCTTAAACCAATATAGCCTTCTGATTTCTAAAGTAACCCAAATGATTACGCTTCTTGAATAGTCGAGCAAGGCCAGATATAAATACTAAAAAACCTACAGACCTTGAGGTAGGCCTAAAATATATAATCAATAATTACACAAATAAAAGGGAAAGCTCCTACACTAGACTGCATTTACGGGTAGGATATACAACTTAAGCCTCCTGAATGCATACCGAGAATTACGGGCTTGAAGCCATCGTGGGATGGGATAAGGAATTAAAATTTTGAGGAGCAGTCAGTAAAATAAAACTCGCCCAGGCCTATTATACATAATATACATTACCCAATCAAACACACCGTGACGCACTTACAGTTTTCTTTGTATTTTACAACATAAGGTTTATATAATAAGAAGGGTCAGAGATCACAGGGTGGAGTGCGTTCGTCACTGCACTCTAGATAACCAGTGGGGTATATATCATTTGCATCGATTTATGGAATGGTGTTACAATGTGTTTAGCGGATAGCATCACTATCAATATGCCTTACTTCAATTAACAATTCATACAATATGGATTACCGGTATCGATAGAAAACTACAGTATCTATAGATAATAATTCATTAATAACAAGGCACAGTTACATGATTTTGTCACTTAATTACTTTCGAACTAATGAAGTTAAACTGAGTGAGGTTTTGGCCTTCTCTCATATTTTCATGTTAAAGGGTGATCCTTCCATGTCTATCTGAGAAGAGAAGGTCGGCATATATTCCGGTTCCGGAACCCTCTTTGATACCTGGAATAGTCTGATTCTATATTAAGAGGGGTAGGGAGTGGAGATGTTTCATTTCATTTATTCGTCTCAAAAATACAATTCACATAAAATATCATACACAAAAAGACGAAGAGGCAGGAAATCTAAAAAGAGAACTAAATCAACTGTCAAGTGGATCACCTAACAAAAAGACAGACAAACAGACACAAAATATATAAATGTATATGAATATAAATATCAAAATCAGCCCTTAAAATAATCTTTCAAGGCTTTATAAAAATATTTAAAATTTAAAATAGGTTTATCACGCACATCAGTCGGCAAATCATTCATGTTTTGGTCGTGAGAAAAAAAAATCATGTGATGTCACAGGTTTTAACCCAAGAGCATAGGATTGGAAGACAAGCTTTAAAATACAGAACAATAATCAATATCATACGCCTTTTTTGTATTACTGAAATTAGCATAATGTAGGCCTAAAATGTTTATCTGGTGAAAAAGTATATTGCTCCACGTCAGAGTGGTGTCGATTACCGTTGGTATAATTGAAAAACAAAAACAAAAAAAAAATAAATAAATAAATTTAAAAAAAACCAACATTCAAACCCAAAAGTGGTAGCTTTTACTTACATAAGAACTAGAAACGTTGTGCTTTTAAAATAAATGCATACAGTAGCAAACTGTCACAAATGCAACAACTTAAGAAGGTAGCTGTCGTGTGCACAGGGCGCATTTGGTGCTCTACGCACATTTACTATAAAGTATTGGATCTGATAAGTAGTTCTAAATTTCTCATTAATAGGTCGTTAATAATATTATATTCACTCTTATACCATGGGTCCATGCTTATACTAGCTTGGAAATTGATGAGAGTTTTTATTTCTCATTGTTGGTGAAGGTGAAATATAGGAGAATAACCTATAATAACTCACAGCGTCATTGTGCTGAATTGCGTATGACGGGCGTGGTCCATCATAACAGCCGTGAGAGGCGCTTAATGCACATCATTCCAAAACGACAGGAGCTCAAATTAACCATAGCATCGGGGTAACCCCTACTATTCAGAAAGATGCAATGTGTTCTTTAAAGTGCATACGAGCTGTATACACTAGACCTTCCGTTTTAAGTCCTTATGCGGGAAGACTTGGTTACCAACCGAACACTGGATTAGGAGGAGCGGCTCGAACGCCGATGTTAAGTGCAGTTAGCGGCGCCCCTACCTAACCGCTCGGCCGCTGGACAAAAGTAATGTGAGCGGGGGTGGGGATAACATGAGCAATGCACTTTTGTGCTACGTATGCTTAAACATGTGGAAGGTATCAACCAAAACCTTAGGCCATGAGTAATATTATTATCATTATTTCAATTGATTTTTCTGACACGCGTTAAACATTCGTAAAACTT